GCAAGTTCAAGGTGAGCCTGGGAAAAACAGACCTTGTCTTTTTTTTTAATGTCCAGTGTTCTAAAAAGTTTTTTTTCTGATCTCTCAGAAGCAATATCCTATTATTCCAGTAAGTATGGGATAATATAAGTAATATATTCCCTCTAGGCTGTTACATCAGCCCGGGCTTTAGGAGACAAACACCCCAAACTCCTTGCTAAACCAAATCCACATGATATCATTCATCATTGATAGTTCTCCCTAGCTCCTGAAGTAACCAGTGACCTCATCCTACACCATCAGTGGTCATCTCTATGTCTCCATGCTTGACCTCTGCCGAGTCTGTGACTGGCTCTTCCCCGTTCACGGTTCCACAGAAGGCTGTATTGTCTGTGAGGGCTGAGAACAGACCTATCTCCCGTCCCCAGACAAACAGCTTCAGAATTCTGCCTGGAGCGTAAACCACTGAGCTTATTCCCATAAACACTCCGTTCTTTCAAAGCACAAAAGTGTCTTTGGTGTCTCAGGAGACCTAGGAGTCTGACGTCACTGCTGGCTATTTTAATTAATTACATTTTCTTCTCCGTCTACCCATGAGCTACATGTGAAGGGATGGAGGGATGCCTGAGTCTGACTTAGTTCAGATGGAAGGACAAGGAAGACGGGACAGACATACAGGAAGCTACAGGGAAAGGGAGGCCAGAGAGAAGGTATTAGAAATTTGTCTAATTTTCACACTCTGCTAAAACTCCAGCACATCCTAGGTACCCCAACCAACCCCAAGCTTTTCTCTCTGACTTACAGTCCCAGGAGGGACACATTTTTTTCATTCTGTCCTTTCACTTCGGGGGTGGAGAGGAGGGGCTGGAGAGATGGGCTTGTAGCTAAAATGCTTGCTGCATGAGCATGAGGACCTGCGTTTGATACCCAGGATCCACGTTAGAAAAGAAAAAAAGCCAGATATGGTACTGCATGCTTGTGACCCCAGCACTGAGGCAGTGGATACAGAATAATCCCTAAGGCTTGATGGTCTAATAGTGAGCTCTGGGTCTATGAGAGACCCTGCCTCAAAACCTAAGGTAAACAGCACCTCAAAAATGGCACTCAAGGTTGACCTCTGGCCTACACACACACACAAAACACACACATACACACAAATATCACTTTCTTCTCTCCAATCCCATCGTGTGGGACTCCCAGTAGGAAGTGCTTGGCTACTTTTCAAAACTGGTATCAAGAGTTCCAGTTGCCACAGCTCAGTTCGTAAATTACATTTGTCCTCTCTGTCACCTCATTCACCCACCCAGAGCCACATGGAGTGGATGGCAGCAGGCCCCATTCTTATAAAAAGTGGTCTTCATTTAGAAATCTAGCTTCCAGGAACCCCTGGTCTGCAATGTTCTGAGTGGGAAAGACACACTCATCTCTTCTGCCACCATTGGCCCTGCAGTGACTTCTGCTCACACGTTGTCCTTCAGTAAAGTAACAAAAGCTGCTGGGCTCTGGCCCTTGGGGAGGAGTGACCCATGTTGGGGACAGATGGGGTGAAGGTCCATTGTCCGCTTACTTTCTCTTGCTGAGTCTGTCTGCACCTTGCCCTCTCTGGTTTTGTTCCCATGTGCCAGACAGAGATGACCGAGACCCACGGCCTCCCTGGGAGGCCCACACCCCTCTGCATCTCCTCTTCGATAGGGAAGAGCAAGATGGTAGAATGCTGACTGATGGTTGTCCCCTGGTCACAAGGTCAAGCTTTACTCTCTGCTCTCACTAGTAAAACTGGGGTTCCTAGTAGGCTCTTGAGACTGTCCTTCAACTGATTAAGAAGCAGAAGTGAGGGTACACATGACTACCTGATAGGCCAGATGCAGATGTTATCAGCATCTGTGGGAGAACTGCTCAGCAAGGAATTCTACCCCTTGCTTCTCAGCACTCTCTAAGAACAAGAATCTATTCTGTTTGACAGGAGGGCTTGTAATCCTAGCTGTTAAGAGGCTGGGTTACAAATGTTGTGAGCCTCCATGTGGGTAGTGGAAATTGAACTCAGGTCCTCTGGCAGAACAGCAAGTGCTCTTATCTTAACTTCCGGAGCAATCTCCCCAGCTCTGTATGTTTATTTGATATCCTGATTGTCCTTCCACTGGCCTTGCCTCTCTTGGCAAAGTCAGGACAACAGGACAGTGAAACGGCAGATAAGAGACCTGCTTCGAAATCTAAGTCCCTGAATCTAGACCACTATTGCAATACTCTTTTTGAGCCTTCGAATTCCTTAGAATCAAGGCAGTCCTGAGGCTGCAGCGGGAGCCAGCTACCATTTTTCCTGGGCTCTGCCTTTCTAGTACACACCTCCTGGTCTGAAGGATGGACTGGTATGGGTTTTTCAAAGGGAAATGTGGAGATCCAGTTTGAATATGGGAACTGAGATGGCCAGTTCCTGGAGGGACTGCCTGTGTAGTGCAGCCAGTGTCCACAGATGAAAAGTACACCCGTGGGCTATGAGCAGGGGCCAGACGCCTGGGCCTGGGACCAGGTTTGATTCTTTCTGTGAAGCCACGTGTGTGTGTGTGTGTGTGTGTGTGTGTGAAATTCTGAGGATATTACATTCACACTGCTCTGGGTTATTATGAAGGTGTGTTCCTCACCATAGCAAGATAAGAGTGTGTTTGTTCAGATACAGCTTTGCTAGGCTTACAACTTCTCTGCGTGCAGACCCGGGGTATAGGAGCCCCTCCCTGTTTGTAGCCTCGCCCTCCTCAAGCGTTCGTGGCAGGCCGCTCTAACTGGCCTCTCAACACCAAACATCTGGTCCTTCAACTAGTAAGCCCAGTAGGGAGATAGCTGTGGGTGCTTGTTTTATCTCCAAGAGTCCTTGAGCTAGTGCTTTGAGGATTTGCTCTCAATTATTCATTGTGTGTCCTTGACAAAGGGAGAAAAAAAGAAAATGGCTACTTTGTGAGTTTTTGTTTGTTTGTTTGTTTGTTTTTGAGAGGAGTTCACAGTGTCCATGTTAGCCTTGAACTCCCTGTGTTCAGGAGGATGGTCTTGAACTTCTGATCCTCTTGCCTCAACAGCCACACACCACCTCACCCACCTTTCATCCCAGGGCTTTGAGCCTGCTAGGCAAGAGCTCCACCTGGTTCATCCCCAGAACCACAAAGTTTATTTAAAGTGTTTCCAAAGCATTACCTCATTTGGACCCTTAGGATTACTCCACAAGTCAGCTCTGGGTACAGAATCAATACCGTTTTATAGACAAGAAAGCAGAGGCTGGGGGGGGGGGGAGAAACAATTTGTAGAGCATCTAAAAGATCTAGCCGTTAGAACTGATAAAGTCCTGCTTCTGGTGCTGGAGAGACAGCTCGGTGGTTAAGAGCTCACACTGCTCTTACAGAGGACTCAAGTTCAGTTCCAAGCACCCGCATCAGTTGGCTCTCAACCACCTATAGGTCCAGCTCCAGGGGACCCAACATCTCAGGCCTCTATGAACACCTGCGCTCACGTGCATATACCATCTTCCACATACACAGATAATTAAAAATAATAAAAAAAATCTAAAACCATAGAGCTTTGCTTTTGCCGCCTAAGGATCTAGATTTTGCCCGGGACACACAGTCGCACCGTTCCTGTTTGGAAGAGCTGCGTCAGGTAAAGGGCGCTTGGCACCTGGTGCTGGTTTATCTGGCACTGACGAATGTTTTCTCGGGGAAGTCGCCCAACAGAAGCTAAGCCTCGGTTTTCATCCTTACAATGAAGGAGATAATCTCTCAGGTTTCTTCCAGCTCAGCGGTTCCTTTTACCATTTATACCCCAGATTGCCTTTCATGTTTGTGAAAGCAGCCTGGAAACCTGGGCAACACAATTGTGTTATATTAATGAGCCTTTATCAAACGGCCCCAGGCGGCCTTGAAGTCCCCAAATGAATCAGATCAGCTGGTACCAGCTTAATCAGAAATTAAAAACGAACGCAGAGCCAACAGCAAATCAGCTGCCGTGATCAGTTCTAGGTCTTTCTTTAAGGATGAGACTGCAGAGCAGTGTTCTCCCCTGTTCCAAGAGACAGCAGCAAGATCTCTTTGAAAGAGGAGTCTTTGGCTTCTGGGTTCAAACATCAAACACCTTTGCTCCGCGCTTTCCTTCTAGAGTCGAAGCTCCCCGACAAATTCCTTGCTGTGCCGCAGAGCTGGGGCAAGCCCAGCTCCGCAGATGTGTTTCCTTTGTGGAGACGTTTTCATTCTCAGCTGAGTTTGTAACTAGTTATATCTGGGAAGATGCTGTGGGAACTCCTTCAGCCAATGGTTTGTGGGATGCTAGTGGGCATGGTCTCGTGTACTGCGTACGCAGATGTAGGGGAGGGTGCGACCCCTTTGGTTACTGGATCCAGTTCCAGTTCCCAGCACACACAGAGGACTGCAGATTGTTACTAATCCTGTGAGTTTACCCCCCTTACAAATTAGCCTTTATTATACTCCGTTCTGGGCTAGTGTGGAAATATTTCATATTGCAACAGGAAGAGAACTTCCCATCTCCAGGAACTAATATTTTGCACAATAAAGTTTTAGGAAACACCATTAGAAAGCGTTTGAGTCAGGTATGGTGTGGCATGCCTGTGATCTCAGCACTCAACACTGTAACAGGGACTGTAACAGGGCCTGGGGAGATGGTTCCATCAGTAGAGTGTGTGCCACATAAACATGAGGATCTGCATTCACTGCCCCGGCACGTGAAAGCCAAGGATTGTAGCTCATGCCTTTAACCCTCATGCTGGTCCAGCAGAGACCAGAGGATTTCTAGAGCTCTCTGGGCAGGCAGCACAGCCTGCCAATGAACTCTGACTCAAAAGTAAACTGGCTGAGCAATAGTGGTATGTGGACCAGGAAATAGAAATACAACAGGTGGATCAATGTGAGTTCCAGGCCTGTCAATGCTACATAGTGAGACCCTGACTCGAAAATTTAAAAAAATAATAAATAAAAATGTAAAAATATAAAGTGGAAATAGAGAAAAATAAACAACGGTTGACCTATCAGGTTACATATACACGTTTAGTCACATATACACATGTGTTTACAGACACACACTCTCCACACACAAATACAAGTAAAAACCTTAAAGCTATAGTGGGAGAATTGCCAGTCTTCCAAATCCAGCTTGGCACAAGGCCAGCCTGCGCTGTAGAGATCCTGTCTCAGAAGGGGATTGGAGGGAGAGGACAGAGGAGAGGAGAGTTGGGTAAGCCAGACAGTAGTGCACACGCCTTAATCCCAGCACCCAGGAGGCAGAGGCAATGGGATCTCTGTAAATTCCAAGCCAGCCTGGTCTACAGAGTCAGTTCCAGGACATCCAGGGCTACACAGAGAAACCATGTCTCAAAAAGCAAATGGAGAACATTAGCAACAACAACAACAAAAGTGTGACCTACTTGGACATAATTCAGGATGGTACTCGCCTAAAAAGACCCTGACTTCCTTCCCCAGGATCGCACAAGTGTGATGGTACCCACCTATAATCCCAGCACTCAGAGGATAAAGGACATCATTGATGCTATATAGTGAGTTCAAGACCAGTCTGGGAAGGCTAGGCTACATGAAACCCTGTCGCCAAGAGGCGAGTATCAAAGATAACCCAACCCTAGTTTATGGATCTATAATATCTCATCTCTACAAAAATTAAAAATATCCCATCCATAAAATCCAACCAGTCTAGAGACTCTTAATTAGAAACATGGCTACTTTCTCTTGCATGAATGGGCCAGTCCACCAGGCAGCTCTTCAAGTGCTCCTGAGAGGAATACGGGTCCGTACAGGGCCAATTCAAAGTGGCCACGGTCACCACTGGAGCACACACTTTGTCAAAAATGTTTTGCGGGTGTGGGTGTGGATGTTCTGTCTGGTTTGTTTGTTTTGAGACAGGATCTTGTTAGCCTGGAGCGTATCCCCACCCCTCCCTGGGATTACAGGCGTGTGCCAACAGGCCTGGTTTACGCAGTACCGCAGTACCGTGGATTCAACCCAGGGCCTTGTGTGTCCCAGGCCAGCACTCTACCAACTGAACTACATCCTCGGCCTATTAACTCTTAGTTTCTAATCCAAACAGCTTCACTCCCCTCTCTTCTTTATCAAGCTTATCAAGCTTTATCAAAATCAAGGAATTTTAGCTGTTTCTGAAAAGTCAAATCTACCGCTGTTTATTATGATCTTCCAAAGATGACTGCAATACATCATCTCACCCCACATTCCGATTTTAACATGAGACCTCGAGCCTGGACAGAAATATCTCACATGCCTCTGGCCCTCATCTCTGGGGACGCTGGTTCTTGGAAGCCAGCTGCTATGTTCGGAAGTCCAAATAGTTCTGAATAGAGACTCCACTGAGAGACCGTGAGTAGATGTGTCCAGCCATCAAGTGCCAGATACATGGGTGAGGCAGTGGGTTCCAGTCTTGAGCCTCTGTTTCACGCACCCTTCTTCCTGGTGGAGGACCCAGATCTCCCCAAACAGAGTTGGACCACTGCCTTTCTTCCCTGTCAGACTTCCTAGTGCAGAATCTGTGCGGACAAGAGATTCAATCAATCTTTTGTTGGGAACGGTGGCACGTGTGTGTTACCCCAGTATCAGGAGGCAGAAGTAGGAGGAGGGTTACTCACTTGAGACCCACCTGAGCTCTACAACAAGACTGTACATATAAAAAAAATGCATACAAAACAAGGCACCATTCCAGCACAGAACAGGGAGGATACTCCATGTCCATGGCCACAATCTGGGCTGCTCCCAGGGCCGAGGTTGATGTCAGTGTTCCAAGCTGCCTCTGGAAACCATGTGGAAGTCCATGGTGTTGTCACCAGCTGCTGTGGGCAGGGAAGCTTCTTTTGCTGAAGACTCATATCTGAGAGTGAGAGACATTGAAGGATTCTGTGACAACCTCTTCCCACTCCATCCCCCCAAAAGAAACAGTTTAGACAGGAAGCTTTTGAAATTGTGATAAAGATGCTGAAGTGTAGCTCTTCACAGTGGATGGCTTCCGGTGGTGAGAGGGGAAGGACTCAGTTTTCTTTAAGGGACTGCCCACTGGGAGTTTGAACCTGAGTATATGGGCAATACAAATTAGACTTAGTGTGTTGGGGGGGGCACAAGCGTGGGAGAATGGACCTGGGAGGTGTGGGAAGTGAGTGCGATCAGGGTGTGTTTTATGAAATTCTGAAATATTTAATAAAATTATGAGAAAATTTTTCAAAGAATTATTAAAAATTATACTGAAGAAAAAAAAACACAAAACAAAGAAAAGCAACCATTCTCTTATACATATAAGTCTTGGGATGGTTTGTTGGGCAACAATTATAACTGAACAAGCAGATGAAAATTTGCTCTGAGGAAAGTTCAAAAGGATGTACCCAGAGGTTTTATTGTATGAATCTCTAGGGTGTCAGGTAGATAACCCCAGAATCCTACAAGTTGAAACCTAAGGAGGAATTTTCCTCCTTCTCTTCTTCCTTCTCCCCCATCCTCCTTGCTTTTCCCCTTCTTTTCTCTTCCTGATTATTATTATTAGTAGTAGAAGTTGTATTGATTTTATTTTGCTTTTAGTTTTTTTTTTTTTTTTTTTTTTTTTTTTTTTTTTTTTTTTTTTTTTTTTTTTTTTTTTTTTTGAGACAGAGTTTCTCTGTGTATGACACTCCCTGGACGTTGTATTGACTTTTGAAACTCTTACTGTAGCCCAAGCTGGAACTCAGTATATAACCTAGGCTGGCCTTGATCTCAAGGAAATTCTCCTGTCTCAGCCTCCCAAATGATTGGATTAAATGCATAAGCCACCACTCCCAGATCAGTGAAGGCTTTTAGAATGTTACCAGGTCTCCAGCATTTTAAAGTCTGCCTTTTCTCAGGAGACAGAGGGCACAAACGAAGGTTTACTTGCAACTCAACAGAAATTATCCGGGGAATTCAGTCTTGAAATGCTCAATATGCATAGCCCAGTGTCTAGAAGAATGGCTCACAAAACCAATGCCCTTAGGAGTCAAACTGGTACTGGCTCACATAGAGACCCAGAATCTTGGAAAAGAAAGAGGCTCTCAAACCCCGCACTTCACCAGGGCAGCACAGTAGAGCTGACCCTGTGAGTGCAGGCATGGGTAAGCCAGGCCCAAAGTTGTGAGCATGGGAGAGCTGTCCCCATTTTACATCTGGCAGACATTCCCACAGCTGCCCAGGCCCAGACCCAAGGTTGTGACTTGGGCCTGCCCCAGCATCCATCCAGTCTAGGATCTGCTAGAGCACGTGAAGGGGCCTGACCCACAGACCCAAAACTGCAGGATCTCCACAACACAGGGCAACAACAGGATACCCAAAGAGTGTCAGTGAAAGCCCAGCATTTATAGAGATAGCACAGCAGAAATCAGAGACCTCGAACCACATCAGTGACTTTGCAATGAACACTTGCAGGACATATGGACAAAGGGGTTTACGGCATGACTCGCTGTGTCACGGTGCAGCTTCCAGGATGAGATTTTTATTTTTTTCCTTTATATCTTAATTTTTTCTTTTTTGTCTTAAATTTTGTTTTATTTGGGGGGGGTACATGGGTAGAGCGCAGACGCAAAGGGATGGGGAAATGAAGGCACGGGGATCAAGATACATGGTGTAAAAGACACATAGAATAAAGAAATTTTAAAAAGGAAGAAAGAATGAATGAAAGAGAGAGGCTTTCAACAGGATGACTTGCAGGTAGCTCTGCCTGCAGCCGTGTGTCCTATCCCAGTCCCCTAATGGACTTGCAGGTGGTTCCACCTGCAGCCATGTGTCCTGTCCTGGTCCTCTCGTGGACTTGCAGGTGGCTCTGCCTGCAGCAGCGTGTCCTGTCCCAGTCCCCTAATGGACTTGCAAGTGGTTCCACCTGCAGCCGTGTGTCCTGTCCCAGTCCCCTAATGGACTTGCAGGTGGTTCCACCTGCAGCCGTGTGTCCTGTCCCAGTCCTCACCTGGAGCTTTAAAGGCAGCATGTTGGCCTCCTGCAATCCCAGCCTCCTGCCAGATCTCCTTCACAAGAGACACTCAGAGCCCTAGAACATTCTCAGTATCTGTGTTCTCTGGGTGTTGAAATTCGGTTTCAAAGGTTATTCCCAAGTAACACGACCCGCCTCACCAGTACAATAGTTCAAGCTGGCTATGGGCTCCAGAGCCGCCTTCGGTAGCCTCCTGTGTTACTGAAAAATGTTTTTTTTTTTCCCAGTGTGTGGGGGGGATGCTAGGAATTAAATCTAGGGCACTGTGCTTGCTAGGCAGGCACTCTACTGATAAGCTATGTTCCCAGCCATCACACGCCTCTTTTGTCTTCTTTGAGAGCCAAAGCTGGCCTTGAACTCACTCCAGGGACTTGAGCTTATGATCTTCCTGCCCCAGCCTCCAGACTAGCTGTGATAAGGCTGCTGGGGGGCGGGGGGGGGAGGGGGGGCGAGAATTCGACTAAACTTCTTGTAGAAAATGCATCTGGAAACTGGATGTGGGTATTTGTTACACGAGGGCCCATGTAGTTTCCGAGAATAAAATCCTTTTATTCATTCATGAGCTTGGTTCAGTTTTGGAGCTTCCTGAGGGACAGTCTAAGAAAAGAGAAAAGGAAGGGAGGGAGGGAAGAAGGAGGGAAGGATGGAAAGAAGGAAGGAGAGGCGGGGGGGGGGGAGAATGGGAGGAGAGGAAAGGAAAAGAGAGAAAGGGAAGGAAGAGGAGGAGAAAGGGAAAGGAGGAGAGAGGAGAGGGGAGGGAGGAGAGGAGACTTGACAGCTGCAGTTTTCAGCACTGTCAACAGCCCCACTGGGTCTTGGCACTTGAGGACACTTTAATGCTGCCTCTCTTTGGGATCAGTGCCAGCAATACAGCAAGGCATCCCATCAGTAGCTTTTCTGTAGCTCCAGGCATTTGTAGTTCTGTGGGGTGGCTATCAGCTTATCAACACAAGTATCAGGGTATAAAATTCAACACCATTACCTTGAAAACAACAACAAAACACCCAGAGTCCTTAGCACAATGGTTCTCAACCTGTGGGTTGCAGCCCTGTGTGTGTGGGGGGGGGAGATGATCTTTTTACTTTTCACAGGAGCCACATAACAGATATCTTGCATATCAGATATTTACATTATGATTCACAACAGTAGCAAAATTACAGTTATAAAATATCAACAAATATAGTTTTATGGTTGGGGTCACCACAACGTGAGGAGCTGTGTTAAAGGGTCACAGCATTAGGAAGATTGAGAACCACTGCCCTAGAGGACCCAGGTCTGAACTATTTTGGGAGAGCTAGGCTAGGACAGTCAAGGGCCTTCTGCACTGCAGGCAGGGCAGGGCTCCCTGAGGAGTAGATCTCTTTTAATCAGCCTCCGTCTGGGCTTCTCCGTGGAAGCCTTGCTCTCTTTATAGCGTAGGCCACTGTCCTGCAGGCTCCGATCTCAGCTCTCAGGCCCCCCAGCTCTCCTCCACAGCACAGACCCTGGCTGCTGCTGTGGACGCCTGGTCGGTAGGCGTCTAGAGGAAATGGGACCTGCAGCGGGTGATGGGGGTAAGAAGATGAGAGTCGGAATGGATGGAAGTGATCAGCTGCAGAGGTAAAGGGATTAAAGAACCTGATCAAGATGGAAAATGTCTCCAGCTTGGTTACAGGACTCAGTGTCCAATGCCTTTCATCCCAACACAGCTGAAGCAGGAGGGTTTCATGTTTCCAGGCCAGTAGTGAGACTGTGCCTCAGAAAAGAAAATAGAAAAAAAGAACCACACACCAAACAAATAAACAAACAAACCCAACCTCTCCACGCTTGTGGTTGACTTCCCCCCTGTAATTGACAGTTTTCAGAATTCTGCTTCAGCTCCCAGACCCCAGGGTTGTTCTAAAGTTTCATACTTGTCATGGAAGGTGGCCGGAGTCTCTCCCTCTGAACAGTCTCTGAGTTGGTTCATATAAAACATAACTCGCACGCTGGAAGGGGCTCACTTAACCTTTCTTTCCTTTGTTTTGATCATTCACTTTGTCCTATTTAATGACCATTCTAAATTAATATGCACAGCGATTTTTTCCCCCAGGACAACTCAATTCTCCTGGCTGCTTCTTTTTGTTGCTGTTGTCTCTTGTTCTGTTTGTTTGCTTGTTTGTTTGTTTTGGTTTTTCAAGACAAGGTTTCTCTGAGTAGACCTAACTGTCCTGGAATTCCCTCCATAGACCAGGCTGACCTTGAACTGCCTGCCCCTGCCTCTGCCTCAGGAAGACTAGGATTAAAGGCTTGTACCACCCTTTCTCCTTTCTTGAAGTCTTAGAAAGAAAAAAAAAAATCCCTGAGCCTCCCATGACATCAACCTCTGGTAACAGGGTTGCTGTGGTATGGAAAGAGAATGGATTCAGGACAAGATTTTAATAGGTGACAAGCCTGCACTCAGAGGCTCATCTATAAACACCGTACGGGTTGGTTGGTGATATGGCTCAACTGGCAAAACGCCCTGGATTCTCCTCCCATACTGTCACTGCATTTCAGTTTGTTTATTTGTTTGCTTCTGAGTAACTTGAAAGTAGATGGAAATTATATGGTCCCTCAGTCTAATCTTCTGTAAGGAAATTCCTCTGTGTGTGCGAGGCGGTGTGCCCTCTCATTTCATCTTGCTGAACCTGGAGCTCCACGTTTCAGCTAGACTAGCTGGTGAGCCAACCCAGGGACTGACATCCGCCAGTGTTGGAAGGGTAATGTGTCTTTCAGCTGTGCTCAGCTTTTAACATGCTACTGAAGACCTGAACTCGGGTCCTCACACTTGCGTGGCAAGCACTTTTCCCACTGAGATAGCTCCCTAGCATCAAATACATTCTTTTATGTGCCACATTAGCATGAAATCCTAGAACTTTTTATAGCAACTAATTGTTTTCATATAAACTACAGTTCATATGTAGTTTTAATTTTGCCAGTTGATCATTTTTTTCCTCCCACCAATGTTGTATTTGATCATGTCTCTTTTCCACCCTTAACTTGGAATATTAACTGATTCTTATCACTTGCGACATTGACATTTTTGAAGATTATGGGCCAGTGATTTCACATGTTCTTGAATTGGATGGGTAGTTTTACGTCCTCAGAAAGTCAAAGATAAGGCACAGGGTATCTGTTGTTCTCTATTGTAGGATGTCATTTTTCTTCACCTGTCACTGTATGTGATTCTTTGTGTATCTGCTCCTTATTCCCTTGAAGCCTTTAAGTATTCTGTAGATCCAGCAAGGTTATACAAATACCCTGTTCCTCATGTGAACATCCCCTCTGGGTTAGCATCTACTCTCATCCAAACTGATCTCTCCTGGATGGTTATAAGATGGTCATCTTTCAATGATTGTACTTAGCACACACACAGCCCTTGATTCAGCCCCCCAGCATCCAATTATAATGGTGTACATTATTATAATAAACACTGTTCAATTGTCTTTAGAAACTATAATCATTTGGGACTGAAGTTTGCTCGATATCATTTCCTCGAATGTGCTCTAGGTAAATATGTATAATGGTAGGACCAGTCACGAGGCCTGTTTGTTTGTTTTTGAAGGAACCATGAATCCTACTCAGCACCAGACTGAAAGCTACTGCTGTGGTTTGAATGTGAAACATTCTATGGCCGGGCTGTGGTGGCGCATGCCTTTAATCCCAGCACTCGGGAGGCAGAGGCAGGCGGATCTCTGTGAGTTCGAAACCAGCATGGTCTACAAGAGCTAGTTCCAGGACAGGCTCCAAAACCACAGAGAAACCCTGTCTCGAAAAACCAAAAAAAAAAAAAAAAAAAAANAAAAGAAAACATTCTATGAAAGGTCCATGTGTTAGGGGCCTGTATCCATGTGGTTGGTGCTATTTTGAAAGTTTCTGGAAACTTTAGGAGGTGGGAGATGATAATTGAGGGAAATGGGTCCCTGGGAACAGACCCTCAAGGGTATCTTGTCCTGGCCCCTCCTGTCTCTCTCTCTCTCTCTCTCTCTCTCTCTCTCTCTCTCTCTCTCTCTCTCTCTCTCTCTGTTCAGTGTCTGTCTGTCATGTGCTGAAGAATCTTCTCTGTCATATGCTCCTGCCAAGAGGGTGGGACCAAGCCACCATGCACTGAACCCTCTGAAACTGTGATCCAAAGTGGATGTCCCCCTCCTTAAGTTGGTCTCTCAGGAGTTTTGGTCATGGCTATGGAAAAATAACTAATAGAGAAAACTGGTACCAGAAGTGGGGTTGTTGCTGTTTTGCATCTGCTTTGGGGGTGTTTGGAGGAATGGGATAGCCATACTCTAGAATGCTGCAAACTCAGATTGACACGTGATTTTGGAGGGAGCTCAGAAGACCAGAACATCCTATGAGGATATAGAGAGTTGAAAATCAGCCTCTGAGGCCTTCAGATGGGAACAAGGACTCTGCAAGGAATCGGGCTGCCAGGAGCAATTAATATTACAATGAGGCAATGAATTTGTTGACATCTTTTCCATGTCCTAGATTTTGTGGATAGTTGCGCTTTAAAGTGGCAAACAAATTAATTTAGCAGAGGATATTTCAAAATGGCCTAGTATTCAGACTACGTCATGACTATAGATACCTTTCACCAGATTCATAGACTGGTGGTGAAAGACAGAAGGGAAAGAAAGCCTTGAAAACCTTGTAGCTTGATCAAAAGTGTTCATACAAAGTAAGGAGCTAAAAACAGTGTGATTTTAGAAGTGGTGAGGGCCTATTAAAAGGAAGTCAACCTAGTTTCATCAGGACAACAGGGGAAACACCTGGAGGAAATTTCAATAATTAGCCAGATCATACCTATCCCAGGCTCAGGGGCATGGAAAATTAAATTAATCTGAAAACGTTTGGTTAAAAAAAGGGAATACTTCAAGGGTGTGCCTCACTCGCAGAGGACCGCCTATGAAGGTGTTTCCTGATGTTTAACTGCCCAAATACCCAGAAGTCGCTGAAGCCTTGCTTCAAATGGACCCGTCTACTGCTCAAGTTGGCAGTAGATCTCGGCATCGTCCGAGAAAGGAGAATAAGCATCTGTGCTGGTCTTCCACTCACAGTTAATTTGTGAATCTAAACTTTAG